TCTTCCGTGTATTTAATCTAACTCAATGCAATGCATTGAATAGACTAACTTTTTAGTAACGTTATCTTTTTGTTACATTTTAGAGTATTTTGGAGTTAGGTTTCAGTTTATACAATAACTAGCTGTTCTCGTGCGGCTTCATACGCAATGAAATTATGAAAATATTATTTATTGTTCACATTTGTCAAATTATTTACTGTCAAAATGACATGACATGACAAACCTTGGCAATATTGCTTCCTTGATATTGGCAGCAACTTATGGTCTCTTTCCCACATTAAGGTTCTTATCCAAAATCTTTACCCTCTAAGTTCAATGGAGTGAAAATATATAGCCTAAAGCGTGAAGTAAGTGTGGGGCTTTTTATTAAAAAAAAAACAAATATTCAATAATATATTGCAATTGTGGACATCTCAGGCAACAAAGAAATGTGTGTTTACGCTTTATTATAATAAATATTATAGATACTATCAACTTTATATTTGATATTTTACAGCAATGTAACACTGCAATATACTCGTAAATTCCTAAGTGCAATAAAGCTGTAAGTTAACGTAAGTACTTTGTAATAATTGTGATTGCGACCTGCTACTGTCCGCGTTTAATTTGAATAAATAGCTGCGGTGTTGAATTACCAGTTGGTCGTATTATACTTTAGGACTGGTTGGTATCAGGCAGGGTTCATAGCACCTACAACGTGGGTGGATGCTAGCCTGGGATCTTAACCACTAACGAATGCAAATTGTAAGCAATTATTTAAAGAACGTTGTTCAATATGCAATTATGTGTTGATTCATAATGTATAAATGATATAATAAACATATATAATTAGAATAATATCGAGAAGTAATACTCGTGGACGATGTTATGCAGCAGATTCAAGTAATTACGTAAAAAAATATTCGCTTACGTTTAAAGTAAACTAAAATGGGCAACAAAAAACATGTAGATCGACAGGTCAAGCATTTAATTTCATTATGTCATTAACAGACGAGCTTGTAAACAGATAGGTAGTTACTGTAAAAACTGTGAAAGATATTCGAGGCTACGTTTAAATTAGATTACATCAAATGTAAATCTCCATGATCAAAGTTTTACTAAAATAAACAAAAAAACATATGACAGACAAAATTTGTCATCCCCGGATCATGAATGTAAGAACGTAATTAAGGTTTCCAATTCATAAACTTTTAAATAAATGACGGTAAAAAAATAACAATAGATTAAAATAAAATGCATCCATTATTTCCTTTTACATTATCAATAAGTAAAGTAGATTCTTTTTTCTATTCTAACATCGAAAGAATTATAGTTATTGAACACAATACAACGCATTTCACTTATTGAAAGGTATTTCACATAATGATGTGTTAGTGTCATTCGCTTGAAGAGTCCCTAGTCACCAGAGTCCCGCAGCGCGTGACGTGTGAACATTTTAATTGGAGAGAATCGGTTACTAGGGGAACAACCCTAGCGTAAACCGAAATAGGATTATTGGAAATAACTGCGCTTCGTATGAGCTAATGGCACGCGTTCAATTAAACCAGAAATAATAACAGGGACCAAAGGCGTCTCTATTGTTTGTGGTTAGAATATTATTTGCGTCAAATAAAGCCATTACATGTTGTTACTAAAAATATATGCTATATTGTGTGATGTATTAAACGTATGAACATAATATAGAGTATAACATATTAATTCAAAATGAACAAAACATATTTATAATATAAAAATTAGTATTTACAGCTACTAAAAAATAAATACCATGATTAAATGAAGAGGTTACCTCAATGTTCATCAAAGGATGTTGAAGTTCTTAATATCTCAATAATTGCCGAATCTCTTCTGTTTAATTATTTAAATTTGTAAGTTCTAGAATTACTGATATAAATTGAAGAAGAATCAAATAACACATACAATAAGGTGTCAAACTTTGTGTTTTAAATTTATTACTCACCGATGGTCGCAAGTGTATCTTGTATATGGGTGCTATTTTTTACAGCTATAACTTTTTATAACATCTAAAACGGTATAAAAATGTTCACATAAACAAAGTTTTTACGAGTGCGTGTCAAAGTATGAGAAATGTCTTTATTTGTGGGTAAATGTCCGTAACGCGCCCACGTGGCTTTCATACGTGTTGGTAAACATCGTGTGAAATAGAAAAGTCAACACACGTTCATATATAGACGCACAGATTATGCAATAACACGAATTTTAAAATGGCGTTTAACTTTGACACAGAAGTTGATGCCCATTTCGTTGCCACTACGAACACAACTCTTACATCATAATCACCCGCTCACTATACGTCCCCACTGAGGGGCTTGGAGCCTACCCTAAGTTAGGGTGACTAGGCCATAGTCAACAGAGCTGGCCAGTGCAGGTTGGTTGACTACACACATATCTTAGAATTTCTTCGCCGATATATTTGCCGACAGGTTGCACAATGTTTTCCTTCACCGTAAGAACGTCGGGTAAATTATGTACATTCGAAAATTCGCAAATCAGGTTGGTACATGGCGAAATTCAAATCCAGGACCTGTAGATTACAAGTCAAGTGCACTGAGCCATTGAATGTCTTGAAGGAAAAAATGAAGTTTTAACTCTTACTATAACTGTGTGTTAAAAATCCACTTTTTGAAATTCCCAATAGAAGGCTCGACTTAATCAACTATAGTTTGATTACAACGATTATTTGAAAATCGTACATATAAAATGTCTCCTGTACAATATGAATCTGGTATATAAATACAATTATTTGTATATCAGATAGAATCGCGATAAATAACTGTTAGCAAAATCCATATTCCATTTTATTTATCAGAGTTATCATATTCTTATCGCAATACCACGCCCCGCGTATCGACCACTTGATACATCTGACAGTATTTACTCTAAAAACATATACGAATGAATGTAAATATAAAAATCTAGAATTCTCCTATCATTCCGACTTAAATCTAAATATAAAAATCTAGATTAACAGTCCGACTTAAAACTTCTTTGAGATTTACCTTGGGTAAACTTTAGTGTTATCTAAATAGTTTAAAATATATCAATGCATTTTTTAACATGTATAAGTTTATAATCTTTCTTTAATGTGAATGGTAAAAGTTTTATACAATTATCTTTTAAATTTTACTCTATTATTTAGCTATACTTATTTATGGTATCTTAAACGATTTCTATAATGAAATGAGTGGTCTTTATTTGTAAAAGCCATTAATGAGAGCATCACTATAAAATAAAACACAATTCAGTTGATGATATATTAAGAGCAAGCACACAACATTGACTAAACTATCGCATAACGGTTGTGCGATTGTCAATTGTTTCTCAGCCAATTTAATTGTTTAGTTATACAAGTAAACATCGGAACGTGTACGCACTTCCATTTAATCTCATACAAATCAGTCGTGCGATAGTTTAGTCAAAGTTGTGCGCGCGCTCTTAGTCTCTATTCAGACATCTACATTTATAGATCGCAGTCTGAAATATACGTTGGATATTTTCCAAGTTTTATTACAAGTATTTTCTTTTGCTAAATATCAGTTGTAAATGTTACGTATGACTCACTGTAAATCTCTAGGAAATATTGCTCAGAACTGTTTGATAACGTTTCAAGTAGTTGCAATAAAAATATAGAGAGCAATGATTGTAAATAAAACGACATTCTTTAAATAACATGCAATTATATTTACCTTTTTAACTTCAAGCATTTATCATTTGGATATTTCTAAATAATGTTCAAGCCAATATCATAAGTACATCAATTATTTTATCTAATTCTTGGTAATTACCTCAGTTTTTAAAAATGTAAATAAAACAATAGGGATCTTTTTTTTATAAAAAATCTAAACCTTTTGTACAGCTCATAATAGAATGTCTTTGTTTTTTGTGGCAGTCGGCAATTGTTTGCATTATTGAAGTATCCAGTTTTAAGGTAGCCGAGTCAAGTACGCTTCACTTGAACCTTTTTAAGGGTAACTTTTTTCGAGGGCTCCCTTGTATTGACTTTTAGCTTAGGATAGCTTAAATTCTACTCTTTCAGGATTTTTTTATTATATACTAAACAAGGTAAAATAATATAACAAATAGTTGTAACTATATATTATGTTTCATTTAAAATAGTGGTGGGAACTTATTCCTTAGTTGCTCGAGACATTTGATATAGGTCAACTCTAGCCGTAACCACAGAGCAGTGAGCAATGCACCCAGCCCAAACAAACTCAATGCACTTGGCACATATCAAAAGGTTTCGTAAACCGACCTGATTTATAAATAAAAATCAATAGAGTTACTGCCACATTTATAATCGTTTAATGGGTTATTAAGCAATCCCTTAGTGTACATTTCTAAATCCACAATAAGGTAAATACTTAGTTAGCTATTAACGGATCTGAGTGAACAAGTTAAATTCTGTATGTCTAAAACCATAAAACAAAAATAAACTTAATAAAGGAATCATTAGTTTGTGCCTAATTCTGATAAGATCGCTGCGTACATCCTGTTTCAGAGGCTAAACTCTAACTAGCCGGTAGACGGCTTATATTATCGCACCAGTTCTTGACAGATAAGAAACTTGAAATGTTGCTAACCTCAACTCAAGCTAAACAGTTACATTCAAACTAAGCTAATAGACGCGCGGTTGCCGGCGCAGGCGCAGCGTAAACACTCGCAAGAGGTCATGTGTTAATGTGAACAATACCAACATTCATCAGTATACCGGCTAACTATGACTTACAATGTATTGTAACTTATACAGTATATAAATTGATTATTTATTTTTACAATAAATTAAACTCAATAGATATATTCACATACTTCGATAGCTTCAACCTACTTAATTATTGATAAAAATATTTTCATTATACATTCAAAGAAACGTATCAGCACACGATAGCAAACACATGGCAGGACCGGTGACCTTCACACGAATCGTGTTAAGCGACTTATGTTTTTAAGAATATGTATTTCTAGTAAATCTTATAACTTACCAGCTTGTTTTATCTCCGCTAGTGCTGTTTATTGTGAGATGTTCGGCGACGGAAAATCCAAAATAAGAACCTTTCTCGCCGTACTTTATCACTGGAATCCTCGGCTCCAGGTTGAAACTGAAGGCACTATGTAAAATACACAAATATAAAACACACCAACACTCCTTCGAAGCCATCGTAATGTTCGTAGTTATCGTATTATAAATCGCGTGTTTAAACAAAATCACTGTCTACAAGTTATAGTTTTGTACATCGCGATTTTCGTAAAGTATAAAATAATGAAACGCAAAGCGATGAGACCCCCAGCGCGGTTGCCGCTCGCCGGCTGAGTATTGGCGGTAAAGTTTTGTCGCGTTTCTGTTGACTCTACATTCAGATACAACGTGTTTGCTCTACGCACATCCGAGCGCGCGCTCTCGGTAGAGGCGAGTGAACTCATAAAACATGCGATACTGGGAAAATGAACGCCATCTAGTGTTGAAAAGCTTTACCTCCGAGTTAAAAGTGTATTCTTGATATTGCAGCATTTAGGTGTAACAAATTTGAATTAAAAATATCAAACAATATAAATTGCGTTACATTTTAATTTTCTATATGTAACGATACTTTACGTTTTAGTATTTATCGGCATAGTGTTCCATCTACAGTAACAGCAGTGTATTTCGTCATCTTATCAAAAGGAAAACGTCTACATGATTCCAATAATGGCCGATAGGTGGATTCAATTTTTATAACCACACTAACTGTTGTCGTGGGGCTTCGTCCGCGAAACATTATGAAAACTTTATTTTTTTGTTAACATTCCGTAAAATCGTCAATTGGGAATGTTTTAATGCGTACAATGCAAACAATAATAAACGCCTTACTATTGGCCGAAATTTAAGTAACCATGGCAACCTTTGCTTATTTGCTACTCTTAGCTATTATTTTTTCCAGTCGCGCAGAGACATCTTTTAAATTTAACTACACTCAGTAAATTAAGAGCATGAAAATGCATATCTTAAAGCGTGTCTGATCACTCGTCACTCGCTTTTCTTCACGATGCACTTTCGATTTGAATAGTTTTTTGGCTTACTTCCCACATAAGTACTATTAATATCCTAAAAATTATATTCCGCAAATATTGACATTTGTAGAACATAGACAATGTACCAGTTAGATTTACAGCTTCTGTTTAGATTATTATAAAATACACTTTCAGTTGTTTATCGCAATTGATATTTTTAAAGTATTTTTATTTTTCAGTATTTCGTATTTTTTTTTATTTTTCTTGTGAAGATTTTAAGCGCTCTATTTCAAGATAATATTCTTCCTTGGTCTAGGATTACTTTTCATATTCGATAGAAATAACCATTTTTTACGTAGGAAGGTAATGTTGGTGTTTTAAGATATTCTAAGTACACTTTGGTTTTTTATGTTCGTTGCTTTCTAGCGGTTAGGCTGATAGATTTTCGACCCCCTTTTAAGACAGACAATAAATGATATCTGTCTGTTATATTTACTCCACACATTTTAATGTAATGATTTATAACAAGAAATAAAACTTTGTACTTTGTATTTGAATTAATTTTATTGAAAGGAAAACATATTTTATAATAATGATCACCAGTTTAAGTTACATATGAGTATACATAAAGTGTGAAGTTTGAATTTTGACGTGTCTTTTGCTCATAGTTACTAGTCTTTTCTACTCTCTCCGCAATAACAAAGTTGTAATTAAAACAAACAATAACTGAAAATTGAAAATCTCATCCTTCTTAAGATTGTTGATAACTGTCATATGTTAAGAAATTATCAACAAATGTTATAGAGAATGATAAGGAACCAGAGATGTTATGGCAATCATTGCCAGCGAAAGCCTAATACCGAACTTGAGAAGAGCATTTTGATGTTATTTAGCTCATTATCTTCGCTTTCGCTGCGACAACGAATCTACAACCGAATTGCCAACAGCAAAAGGTACAATTAATGACCTCCTTTCGGTTGCAAACTCGTGACCAAACCAGTTTGAATTGACGAAACCTAAGTCGCGCCAGTTGGGTTGTTTTGATATCACAATACAATTCGAGAAGCGCAACTTGCACTTTCTCATGTATTGCAATACCATTCGGTTCTCGTGACTGCTTAAGGGATGGGGTGGAAGGTTAGCTCTGTCTGTGAGTGTGCGAACAGCAGGTTCAATTGCGAGTCCAAACCAACGTTGAACACCTTGACCAGCTTGGCTGCCTGCTGCCCCGGGTCCTTGCGCACGAGCGCCGTTCCCGACACCTTCATTAGATGCACCTCGGAGTCCACCGATCCTCCTCCAGTGGTGGCCAGTTTCACGTGGCATGTCACGTCCACTTGGATATATTTCTCCACCGCCTTTCCACGCTTACCCGGCACGTCTACATATTCAGTCTTCTTTTCTATTTGAGGCAGATCAGCCCGGAATACGCTCGCTTCGCCAAGAAGACCCTAGAAGAAAATTAAAAAGTATAGTTAGCAAATTGCGCTCCATTCAATTAATTTGGCATCGTACCAAATTCTTGATTTATAAAACGACGATGTACCATTAGTAAACAAATAAAAATTTGGACTATGCATGAAACTGCTAAAAGATCTATTATAGTATTGGCAGAGGTCCAGCTCTATGTAACAACGAAAATAATACTTGTTCTAAACATTATGTTAGTTATTTAACACGCTTACCCCATTTCCTGTAATAGAGAACTTCATATCGGGGTGTACGGCGCGAGGCTCCATGCCGATACCCTCGGGTTGAGAGTCCGACCAAAAGTAATTCTCCGGTGCGTTCAGAGTATCGGGTTTGAAGGTGATACGTTTGCCGTATCCCATTCCAATGGACTGCAGCATTAAGCTCCGACCTTCAAACAGATGGCGACGACTGTTCGCAGGACGCACGCGGTACGAAAATCCAGGAATAATACGGGGATCAACATAGGTTCCTGAAATAAATATAACAATTTAGATATTATAGCTTGTAAATTAACTGATAAGTAAGTTGAAACCAGTATCTAATTTCAACATAACATACCAATTACTGGAAGTTCGTATCTTTCCAACCCCACCATGCTGTATTGGCAAGGAATATCTTTAATGTCAGCTCCATTGACTTTAATTCTTCTTGATGAAGATTGAACGCCGGGCTTTAGTTCGTAACCTTTCTTCAATTGTTTGATTCCGATAGCAACATTGATAACTCTCACAACTGTGGCATTTCCACGGCCTTTTTTCAGCAGAGCAACTCCAGTAACGGGTACTAATTTAGTAGCGCCATCGTTCTCATACCATTCTACTTTGCAAAGTGTGTTGATCTTCACTTTCTTCTCGATCGTGCCATCTGCACCTATCAGCTGGTTTACTTCGATTTGATTCTTCTGCAATTTAAATAACAGTATTTTAGTTATATTTCTGAAGTTAAAATCATAATACTTTGAAGACATTTCACAACTATTTGATCGTAACTAACCTGTTGCTGAACAACTTCTAATATGCCTTGTGGTTCATGGTTAGCATCATAAATTGTGAACTTGTCACCGACGGACACGGCTTCGATCTCAAACAGGAATCCCTCGGGTCTAGAGTCCGACCAGAAGTAGTTGGTGTTGTCGTTTAGAGTGGAATCGCTCGGCTCAAATGTCAGCCGGCGAGCGAAGCCGCGGCCAATCGATTGCAGCGTCAGAGCCTTGCCGTCAAACAAGTACCTCGGCTTCACTGATAGAGGTGGTGCGTCCAAAGCCTGGAATGTTACACAATGATATTCATATTCCATTCAGGATAATAAACAAAAATACTCATCTCATACAACTTTGAACTTGAAACTTTACTTTTTTTCAAAACAATATTTTTGGTCACCACTTTAGAGAGATTTTACTTAAAAATTTAATAAGTGAATATTAAGAACGTTAGTTATTTTTTCATTTAACATGCAATAATACTGGATAGTTATGATACCAGTGAATTGCTTACACTCATGGTAATGTCAGTGGGACTATATTTTAAAAATTATAAATGTATGAAAAAATAACCACAGAAGGACTCAGAAACTTTTTATAAGGACAAAATTGACATGTAAAGATGGCATGGTGCCCTTATGAATGATACTTATGGTTTACCTATTATAGACATAACATGCTGGCGGCCTGTATGTCTGTTTCGACCTGTCGGGCCTCCGCGAGGTTTCTCGAAGGACAATCATTGTGTATGCGAACGCCGCACTGGGCGTGGTTCTGAAAAACTGGACGATCCACATACCATCGCCTACAACGGCAAGTGCAAACAACCAGTGGCGAAAGAGCCGCAAGTCAACAGTGTTGGTCGTTGATGAAATTTTCCATTCTGTAAACGTCAGCAACGGACACTGCTACTCACTAACTCCCTAACATTGACCGAATTGCCCTAGACCGCTGAAACTGACTAGCTGAACCAATTGAATTTGGACCACATAAAATGTAGTGAAACTAAAAAACAATTAGAAACAAAATTATATCAGCATCTTTTAACATTTTTTGGTAAGGTTGCCATTACTTTTTTTTGTACTGTTGCAACACGAAATGAAAATTTACATGAATTTTAAAGCTATATATCGATAGCATATTTATATTACATCTATCAACATAATAGTAAAATTGTAACGTAATTTTACAACACATTCAAGATAAGTTATATTTACCATGACAACCTTACTTAAAATTTCAAACGCTGAGAAATTTTGAAATAGGTAATCGAGGGACAAACGAAAAATAAAGACAACTTGTAACAGTGGTCAAGTTTACCGCAATAGTTTACTGACCGTATTAAAGTGATTGGAAATTAAGATAAATGGAAAAAATAACCATTTATTTCCCGAATATTATGAACATTTTTGTATGATCGTTTTGGAAACAAACTCACCATCCTGTTGGTAGCTGAAAAGAAGGACCAAACAAAAATGTTCTGTAGCAAAAATTAAATACCACCGTTACGAAAATAAAGATAATTCTATCAAAACATTTATTATAATCAAACACGCTATGCTAAAAGATTGCCGACATCATTAAGGTCCAAAATCAATTAACAATTTAGATTAAGCGTAGCCGTTCGCGGTCCAATTGGTAAATTTTGCCCCTTATCGATATGGATCTTCGTAGTTTTTCTCTGATTTCTCGGAACGAGTAACAACATGATACAAAAGCTTGAACTTATTGCATATCAACTGATCGATGAACAAAGCCACAATTAACATTCCTGAAGAATTGTCGCTACCGGTCTCATAACCAACAACTACTCAAGAATTTCAAAACAAAGTCAACGAAATGTGGAAGATTGCGTATACTGAGTGAAATTTCAATTTGCAATCATCAACACTTCTAGTTACTGTGAAATGCGACAATTCTTCAAATTGCAATGCATTATGATCAGTGTATTTTAAATTGAATTATAAACATATATTCTTCTCACCTGCATGGGTCTAATTTTATATCTGAATCCGGTTCTGACTCTAGGGTCAATGTAAACTCCGATGACGGGCATTTGATGGGGGGCGGGTTGCGGGACACGGTACACGGCGGGCACATCGCCGAGGGTGCTCGCGTCCAATATAACCTCTTTGTCGTACACGCTTGATTTCCAATAACCTTTGCATGGAACCTCCGGAATCTCCTGCAATACAACACTTTATTGTTACAAAGTATAATTGCAGTTACGACACTACATCACTCAATGATTCCAAAGTAAATAATCACATCCAAGTATTGTCAAATTTAAGTTAAATCGATGAATACGCTATTTTCAAAGAGTTAAGAAATTTGATTGCCATTTTAGATTTTCTTTATTGTTTTGCCTAATAGTTAGTCGAGATGTCGTTTAAAGTTTTATAGTATAAAATACATTGGATCGGTCTCTTTAGTAGTTATTTAATTTATTTTGATTTAAGTATTCTTATAATTTGTAGCAAATCATTGACAAAGCGATTAAAAAGGGTACAGATGATAAAAGTTAAGAATAATGAACTAAATGAAGACATCCTTTCCAAAATTCTTTACTGCAACTCGCGTATTTTATTTCTTATAATTTAAACTTACTTCTACAATATCACAGGGAAGTAACTCAATTTCTTCATAAAAGACAGCCGCGAGCATTTTTATAAACTTAAATAAATCAAACAATGAATTGACTCTCGTCTGCTGCGGGATGGCACACAGTAAAGCTCGCCTTGGCATTGCAAGCCGTGTTTTGTTTTAATAGTTCATGCCAAGAAATATGTATTATCGTCTATGTTATTATTATCTATACCTATGTTTAAATAATTTTAACACTTTAGAAGTAAAGCGCAATATGTAACAAGACGTAACACAGTGTTTTTTAAACTTTTGTGTTTTGTCTTTTGCAGTCTTTCTTTTCTCTTGCTTGATTATCACATTTTTACATCCTAATTGCTTTGCTCAAATTTCCATCTGTCTCCTAGCCACTATCATCTATCTTGATTGCTTTGCCGATCGTTTAATAAGGCGAACAATTTATTGAACATACTATACCAATGATATGTGATATAGAACTGAAAGAAGTGCAGATATCAATTGAATCACTTCAATCAGAGTAAATCAGGCAAGACGAGAATGACGCACATTCACAATCAAAGCAAATTGATTTGACAGCGACGCTGAAAGTACAAAGTCCATCCAGGAGATCGATCGTCGACTATTTATAGCTACGTATAGAGCTGTTGAACGGCCCAGTGAACAGAAACACAGTATAACCACACCCACACACGCCTACATTTGTAATATGGAGTTCTAAATTTGACAAGGATTTCTTATTATTTAAACAGTGGTAAATAATTTAGCTTCGTAGACGAAGTAGGCGTGGCCTGTATTTGGAGGACGTTGCTTTAAAGAAATTTAGGTCACTGTAAAAGTTATTGACGTGTTTAGAGCCGTTTATTTTTTTTACTAAAGTAGTCTCTTAATGAGGAATTATTAATGAAAACCTACAGTAAGGAAACCTTAAGCAATATCGACTTTGAATTTAAGTAAAAAGTTAAATTGGTATCAAGAAAAGTTTTATTGTCATTTCATTAGTGTGAAGCCACACGATGTTATTGGACAGTGAACGACGTCCATTGAAGCTGTACAATGAACAGAATTTAATGAAACGTTTGATAAGAGCGTCTGGACTATATGTTATCTGTTTGTATAACGTTATTTTGGTCGCAGGGGGCCGAACGGCTGACGTAAACTTATCATTAACTTGATGAGTTGAACTAAGGGGTGCGTCACACATTTATGAAATAGAAATAAACCAGCACTCTTAATTAATTAAAGCTTAATTGCAAAAAGTATTTAGTCTTTTTATATAGTTTTCACCATAGCTATTTTAATTTTAAATTTTCTACAGTCAAAATATAGTAACAATCATTTGAAATAATTTCAATTTAACGATATGTCAAGTTAATTATTTAAAAGTAACATTATAAAATCGTATTTATCGTTTTAATTTGAAGTTATAGATGGATTTGAATTTAATTTAATTAGAACTTACCGGCACATCCAACTCTGAAAAAGCCTCTTCACCATCACTTTCATAGTCGCTCGGCGCTGATGTCAAAGCCTTCGGTCTTTCCTCGGGCTCCTGCGCAAGATTCAGAATTGATTATCCTAATACTGGATTAGGTTTTTCTTATAAATTTTGAAGACAACTTCACATTGTTTTCCTTTCCAATAATATTTTTACCCAAAAAATATTGTTGCTGTTTCATAACTTTAAAACGTATTATTTTTTCCTGGTCTATTTAATGCGTGTTGCATTATAATTCATCTACTTGTTGTCTATGGTTTCATATATTTTTTTTTATTTTTGTAATTTGTAATAGTAATTCGTGACAACCCGATCATAATAACGTAGTTTACAATTTTCTTATCACTAACTTATTACGACTAGACGGTTGTTTATAACAAAAATAAGACATCTGCAAATCGAGGCCAGAGATTTATTATAGTATGTTTTAATAATCGAGCCTTGACTCAATTGTAATGAGACAATAAGTAACTGATAAATACGACAAAAAAATCTTTAAATATTTCATTAGCAAAAAAATGTTTTATTGTCATTTATTCAGTACCGAAAACATTCGAAGGGCATAATTCGGAGAGGCCATTACGACCTCGCTTATATTTAACAAATTCTCTTCACGTTACGTCACGAAATAATCTGAACGAATAAGTGGGTATTTTAAAAATGTCAACGGAATTCGAAAGTAAAAGCAGATATACTTTTAACGTGAAAAATATAGATTGCTGGATTAAGTTCTAGATAATACTTATTTAATTTTTTATTTGAAATTTCTGAGGTTTGCATCAGTATTCGGTTAATTCTAAGTCTAATTAGCATTTTAAACTAACTATATCCAAAATACATACACAATTCTTAACCATGTGTGTGATGGTTGACAAAATCAGTATGTTCTTTATCTTTTTCATATAGAGATAAGACCATAATATCTATAAGTAACACTTTTTTTAAGGCACTTACCTGGGCATAAGTAAAGTTGTCCACTAATTCCGGTTCATCAATCGCAGTGGTAGTGCCGGCTAAGCGAGCGCGGGTCAGGTTCCACAGGCGTCGCAAAGCCAACGGAGTCTCCTCAACTTGCATTTCCATTGCGGAGTTTGCGAGCATCTTGATTATTTATTACAAGTTTCCTGTTAAATAAAGATACAATGTATTTTTAGTTGGAATAGGTGAAATACTAAAAGGGTTCATATTTTTTTAAACAAGATGCTATTAAATGTCTCCGTAAAATACAGAAATTTTATCGGCTGTTAATTTGATCTCGTTGCGATTTCAAAAGCCAAAATGTGCGCACTATACATGTTCGGCCGATAAAAATTTGTAGTCTGCGAGGGCTCTAAAACTTCACTATTTTATTAAAACGAATAACTTCCAAGATGTCGGTGATTTGGTCCTTGGGAAATACTATATGCGATAAGGGGAAGAACAAGCGTAACGTAAACCATCAAGTGTGCATTGATGTTAAGAAACGAGATAAGTGTGCCACGACCTCATAAAATGACAGTTTGTAATCTGTCTACACGTTTTAGTCATGAACGTAACAATTTTACTATTTGCTTTAACATATGAAAGCACACATTTAATGTTATCGCTAATAGGAGAGCTTTTGCTGAAAGAATTTTTAATCGGCTTAATTTCTAACTTTTTCTATGAAAACTGTTTTTATATTTGTTTGCTCATTACAACATCGAAGAGCAGTTTGTGAGATTTGATTGTTATTTCGAAAAAATCGGTTACTACGCGTAAACCACAACATAAGACACTCATAGAATGTGAGACTCTGTCTCCTCATATACATAATCCCGCGTTGTTTGCGAAAAAACAGTGCAATTCATAGAATTTTCCTGATTTGACGTCATAAGATTTTTCAAGTTATTGTGCAACATTAATAAGATTAATGACTTGAAAATAATATAATTGAAACCGATTTTACCTTACAAATAACTCATTTTTACCGTATTGTATTCCTTTAATTTCTTATCATTTATTGTACGTTACATTTCTATACATTTCAAAATGCATTGTATAACGGTTTGTAATAAAACGCACGGAAACTGTTCAATCTCTACAAAGCGGCACATTTATAAATAAAATAAATTCACTTCGAGTTTTCGGTAGAAAACAATCATAGATCTTAAACAAGTTTCAATTTATTTATGCAGTAGTAACAAAAAACGATTTAATATTTACGAAATTAATTTCTACATTAATTCGGGGAAAATAGCTTCTATACAAGTTATAAAAAAACGAGGCAAACTAACTAAAGATTTATAGTATCTTGTGAATCGTGAACGAACTGAACTTCAAAGAAACAGGGTGACCCCAATTTAAGAATTAAGAGTCTCTGATTACTAAAAAATATTAAACATGTTAACATTTCTTTTCTGTCTAAATTTAAAATTAGAAACTTAGCTTAAATTTTATTTTTTAATAAAGTTTAAATTAGTTACAAATATGATAAGAAAATAGAAAATATTATTTCTATAACTGGCTGTTCAATGAACTGCGAACGCTGGAAATAACGGCAGAAATAGAAATTCCGCTAGCGCATAATCGTGAATTCATTTACATCGCCACGTCATAGTCCTAAAGTTTATACAGCTGATTTTCATTGAACATATTGTTAGATTTCTGTCAGATATAAGCACAGTTAAAAGGTACTAAATACCGAAGCCTTTAAAAATATCATGAACCAGACATCGTCTCTTAAATGCGTCCCTTACAATGTTGAAAGTAAAGCAGGTACAATTCCAGTGACGATCCCAACAAAAAAAAGATCCCACATCAAACAGGTAGTTGATTCTTTGTAGAACAAGCAACAGCTGTATATGTAATAGAGATAGGGAAGGAAAACTATTAAATTATCAATTAGACACGCACGTGTAAATTGTAGGTATTCGATATTTCCAACATGAAGTAAAAAGAACTCTTTTATTAGGACAATTGAAAAAAAAATATTTAAGGAAACTTGTTACTTATTAAGTTAACTTATGAGTTACAAAATTCAGACTATTTTTAAATCAATAAATCCGTTTAATTAACCGTGAGGATAAATTAGTCGAAAGTGTTCTTCACTTCTAATCCATTATGCGACGGCGAGAGAGAAAGCGCTCGTGGTTGCAGTTCTGCTTATGTCGGTCGGCCATTTGCTGTGCTCGCTCTAACTTACCAGAACATTCTTTTGCAATAGAAACCAGTTTATTGTTAAAATACTAAGATAATTGTTATTAAATTCTTATTACTATAGTGTCGATTGACCATGCATTTTGAGGAAAAGGTGTTTTTTTACCATTTATGTATGCTTACCTTGGTGATAAAAAAATTTATTGTTTGGCACTGGGCAGCGGGTATTGTGATGGTCGATGGTATTTCTGCAATACAAAAAGTTGTCACAAATGCGGCGACGGCTTCGTAGACGTAAAACGTAGTAACGTGCAGCAGGGCGACTCGAACACAACTGAACGACCACACAACTTTGAATGTATTTTAAACTTGAGTAATCGGCTCTCCCCGTCTGCTGGCTGCCACACGAAGGGGAGGACGATATGGAATATGAGCGAGATAGTTGTAGGGCGCACGCAGTCACCATATTTCCTTGTTTTTATGAGACTGTTTACTTGCAGTCTAAATATAAATAGTCTAATTATACTAATTAATACAAAGTCCTGTGCTTGCCAACAACGTTTTTAGAGCATTAGAAAAATTGTCAAAAATCAAGTTTCCGAATTTTTTTATAATAACGTTACACTATTCAATATTCTAATAGTGTTTACTGTATTTTATATTTTCACAACCCATGGCAATGTTTGTACCAGATATCAAAAAAATATCATGCATTTCTATATCAGAATTTGCCATTTAGGCAATGAAACTGGTAGTTTTTATAATTGTGACAGGGCGAGTTTGAGACCAGACAGCATAATTATTTAATTGCGCGATTTACATTCTATCCCTTTGTATAGTTTTCATCAATCTATATTGACAGAGACGAGTATAATCTTCACCAAACTTTCAAATTCAGCGAAAATTCATTGTCCTGTAAATTACGATAAAAGCCTGGTGTCAGTAGTGGCATGCAGCGACCGCGTGCTGCACTCACACATCGAAAGGCGTTACGCATGCGTCGCGACGTTGGCTACGTCGGGGCTCGAGGCCGACGTCACTGGCCTCGTTTCAGACCGAAGTTCAGAGGGTGTCCACCGGCCATCGTCTGGTCTAGGTAACTTAGCTCGCGACTTTGCGAGGACGTTATGACGTATCAGTAAAATTCCGCTAAACTACGCCGGAATAAGGTCAACGGTAGTTTCAGTGTTTGGTAACTCTTATCTGTTGTTCCTTTTTATATTGATAACGATTGGAAGCGGATATTCGAGTTCACTATTAACTCTACTTACGACACTATACTTACATTAAGTTATAGTTACGGTAACAAGAATGTCATTATTTAAAGATAAAGTATTAATTAAACACAGACTTTATTAATTAATTGACTATATGAACACACGGACCTGTAAATATTACCAAAAGTCTTTATTGAATTTGCTATTATTAAAACCAAATTGATTCTTTATGCTTTTTTACGAAGGATTTACTTCTTGTAACGTACTTTTAAAAGCCTGTATCGAGTAATAAAAATGAATGCTGCATGTCAGTCGAGCGTAAAGTTCTGGAAACGGGAATAAATTAATAAACCGGTGATGCAAGCTAACGCTGTGCGTCGCAGCGCCGCGGGATAAAATAAGATTTTCCGCAACGAACATACCGAATACCGATCGTTTGATGCACGGTTAAATATACAGAGGCAATGCGGTGCAACTTAAGCAATGGAATATCAAATTTCCAATATTCTATTAGTAATAAACGATGACTTAAAATAAACATTACAAGTCAATCAATGATAATTATAGGGACTACTATGTGTACATTTGTTGAAAGAAATCTACACATAGGGACTGTCATATGTTCTGAAAAGCGATAATATGTAATATGTTCTGACAGACTATTTAACATCTTTACTTAACTATATACTTATACTTATTACTTAGATTTTTTATTTAATATTATAAATGCGAAAGTTTAGATGGATGGATCGATGTTTGTTAGAGTTTGTAGCCTAAACGGCTGAAAGTATTTCGATGAAATTTGGTATAGATGTAGAGGATGGTCTGGATGAACATGTAGAACACTTTTTTTTAATTCCACGCGGACGGAGTCGCGGGCAAAAGCTGGTGTTAAATACATGGAAAACTATTACATAAATACAAATATACTTGTCTTATTGAAAAAAATTACACAGTCAAATACGAGGGCTATATTTATTTACTAATAAAAACTAAATCATAAATAATCTTTAAATCGTTAGAACCCATGTTATAAATATTTTGAAGGATTAGAATAGGGACATTTGACGTCATGCATTTTCTTTGAAATCCAGGAAATGATGACTACTGACATTATAAACTTCATTAACCTAAATACACTTTAACTATGTGATTAAGAATTAATTACTCATACCATTAGATTAGATTGTTCTCCGTAATATTGTAGATAATTACTAGTCGGCGCGTGCCGATTCCTACCTATTGTAGATAAGATAATGTGAGTGTACAAAAGATTTAAACGAATTTATCTCCGCAGTGTCTTCGTAGCACGTGTTGATAAGGTTTGTATGTTTTTGCAATCACTATGAATAGATTGCTATATTTATAATGAAATAATTATGTCTGTTTGTCTTAAAATAAAATGAAAAAGAGAATTGTTAACATAATACGTGTAGCCATAGAGCTAAGCCATATGGTGCATATTCCTAATCTTTTAAGCGCTTACTTCCTAAACATAATTAACTAATCTTCATTACAGTCTAATGATCTGTTTCACTTTGCTTTTCTACAAAAATGTACTGAAGTATTGTTTTCATAAATTACAATCCTGGGGAAATTTTTACTAATGTTACCATGAAAATAATTACCAACCAATATATGGATATGCTTCATAGAAATAATTTGATACGACATATAATTATACTTCACAAATGTATACATAGATACGTAGCAAATGCTTTGATATCATATGTCACGTTAATACGAGTAGAACCGACAGCCGTTTCTCGGAAGTTGTTTAATCAACATAACTACAAAAACCAGACGCCGTCTGAGAATTTACTGTTTCAATAAATAATGTCATATCACGCTTTGTTTTAAAAACTAAAAGCAACTAATACCTAAGCTATGGTAGAACACTGTTATAGAACTTATATATAAACAAATAAAAGTATAAAGTAAAATAGTTTTATTATGTCAATTAGAAGTTTTACACAAGTAAGTTCTATGTAGCATGGTTTTCCACTGTCATCTGTACGAAATAATGTTGCTGTATAGAGGGCTTTATCTTGTTAAAATAACAGGGAAGTCGTATATTCGATGTTCAGCAAAAGCCCAAGATAGAGTAATTCCTCCTGCCTGTGGTTCTTGCTTATTAATTTCACGCGCATGAGCAAAGGTTCATAATTATCTTCTTTCAACATTTGTTCTTAATGAGACATTGTCAAGGTAGTTTTTCTTGTTTCAATTTTCAATTATACAAACATCTATCCATCCATACTTTCGCATTTGTAATGTTAGTAAATTAAGGAAGCAAACGAGCAAGCGGCTACTTGGATTCGACGAAAAAGCGAAGCGACTGCTGCCCAGACATGCAATTGTAGACACATTGATTCTGCAGTGTCGAGTGTTAATAGTTTTCGTTTCCTTTTTTTATGGTTATACAAAAAGGTGGCAAACGAAAAAGCGGCCACATTAATCCGCCAAATTGCCGAAGCGACCGCTGCCCATAGACATCCGCAATTGCAAATGCGTTGCCTACCCTAAATCGACGGAGAAGGAGACGCACATAAAGAGGATAATTTTCCCCTTTCTCTGCGATCTCCACCGTCAAATCCACTATACAATCCAATCCTTTCCTTAATAGAATAAGGTAGGGCCGGGAAAGGGACTAAAAATGGGCCTTCGGCACCAGACGTTTTAACCAATGTATAAATCATGAAGCGATAATTTTAAATACAAATGGCACGCGTCACGAGTCGCCGGCTACTAATCAATAACATTGCAGACCGCCGCTAACTGGTATCAAGTCATATATAAACATCGAGAACAAACAATCGTGCCACGCTTGAAATTGGATAATTTATTATCAAAGTGAATACTTCCAAGACTACGTTTTCGTGCTTTTTCTTATCATAAGCTTACATTTCAGCTTCAAATCTACGTCTTTAGTGTTGAATGACTTACACTAAACCATGAATAGTTATTCATTGTAGTAGTTAATTCATAGTTTCTAACTATATCATACTTCACACTTTATTTTATTACTAATATAATTGCGAAAGTTTAGATGAATGGATGTTTGTTAGAGTTTGTAGCCTAAACTGCTCAACGGATGTCAATGAAATTTGGCAGAGACGTAGAGGATAGTCATGAAGAGTATAATGACTACTTCCTTTTTTTGATTCCACGGGAAAGTAGTCTTGGGCGAAAGTTAGTAACATAATATATGAGAAAGTTTAGATGGATGGTTAGAAATCTGTAACTATGTAAATCTAAAAAACGGTTTATATTTTGTCTGAAATTTGACAAGAAATAGATCATAGTCTGTTAGAACATATCGGCTATTAAGTTAAATTCGGGGAAAATATAGTAGAAACATAAAAAAATTACTAGTTAAGACGTATAAAGGTGACTGGTCTATGTCAACAAAATACATTTAAATTACATTAACTTTTCCATTATTTCAAGGTGGTTAGATAGATAATAATTCCTGTTTACATCCGTATGTAAGGGAAAAGAGATCAATCACCTCGATGTATATATTTTCTATTTGCACGTATACAGAAATGTTTGTTTTACAAATTATATCCACGTAACGTAAAGGTAAACCACAATTGCAATAAATTGTACCAGCTTACATGGAACATCTGAAAATATTCTAAACCTGCTTTTTTATATTGCATTAAAAATCATTAAAACCTAAAAATAACTTGCTATCTTAGACTGACAAAATATTAACTTTGTATGAATGTTTTGCCTGTGAAAACTGATAAAGATAATAGATGTTTCCAGTAAGGGCATTTGGTTTAACTCATGTTATCTATGCTGTCCGTCGCTGTAATTTAATTAACACAATTCGACGTAAAATCACATCGAATCTATAATACATTTTTCACCTTTTCTTATAGTCACGTTTAATTTACGATATAAGAATTCTTGGTAATTTTTCGTACTACTAATCACGCGCATACTGCATGTTACTTATATTTTAATGTTTTGTAACAAAGCATACTGTGTCATAACTATATTTTGGATCGTTTTCCAATAATAAATGAGTAAAGGTAAAGCTATTGTTTGTACAGAAATCTACAGCCGCCACATTACGCATATCAACGACTTTACTCGGGTGAAATTAAAAAAATATACCTTATGCTATTCACTGATAACGTAGCTATTTAATGGTGAAGTAATTTTTGAAATCGGCCCTGTAGTTTTTGAGTTATTTAAATACAAAAAAATACAAATATTTCCTCTATAAAATTTTAGTGTAAATCAAGACATCTACTGTTTGCCTGTATCTTTTCTGTAAGAAGACAAATAGAGAAAAAGGTCTGCGGATTATGCAGCGTTGTTCATTGGCTTCGCCAATTGTAATGTAGACTCGGTCTAGGAGAGGCACTTACCAACGATGTGACCTTTTTGAAACATTTTTATAGCTATTTCATTACAAGGAATAAATTATTCCTTACATTATGAATACGTAAAGTACAAGTAATGTGTGACGCCTCAATACAATTAGTCGGGAACTATTTGCAGACATACATAGTAAAGTTAAACAGATCATAAAGGTACACAGCAAAAGTCTATCCTTGATTACATATGATTCATATAATCCTTATGTATTTATAAAATAAATTTCTTTGTTAAATGCCTTACGGGCTAAGCGCCTAAACTAAATATCTGTCACAGGTAATAAAGGAGTTTGCAATTATGTTTGATAATACTCCTCGAGGAATATCAAACATTTCCTGTTAGGTGCAATGTTTATTCTTTAGTTTAATAGCAGTGGTAGTCGGCGCGTGCAGTTACACATGCTCTCATAGTATTTACAGTTCTTGTTCAGATAAGAGTTGCTACGAAGGAACAAACTTGCATAATCTAACTACGAGTGTGAAGTATTTGATATTTTATTATCGAAATCCTTTGACTGAATACTGGCAATTTTTACGAGCAGCATTAGATACATTTGAAATGAAGATTTAATCGTAGTTAACTAAGCGTTTTGAAAGCAGAGCTATTTCTTAAAAAAAACAGTTACGGTTGTGAATTAAAATACTTTAAAATCTTTTCTTCGTATCAAAAATACCAAGATTAAACTGTTAATACGACAAACTTTTTAAATTCAGACATTATAAAATAAAGATTTATAAATAGATAACATTTAAAGCTTTTTTACCTTTTTTTTCACATACGATAATGGGGAAACCATTAAAGAAACAATTTATTTCTTGTCAAAGGTTCGTATTGTTTAAAGTCAAGGCGATAGGAGGATAATACAATAAGGAGATAAAATACGCCAGGCGACAAGTAATTTTTTAGTGAGTAATATTTTAAAACATAATAAAAAAAGTTGACATGTATGGACTAATAAACGTTTTTTTTTATGTTAAAATGTAAATCCCATGCGTATTTAAGTTAAATCCGTTAAGTTAAAAATAAGTACGTTCAACGTTCACGAGAAACTGTTGAAATGAAAACAATTTTTAGTATACTTTACATATAAATATAATGTAAATAAGCGTTTTGTTTTGCAGACGGCTTTATCATACTTGTGTATATAATAAGAATTTTCGTCTTGTTTGCTTATGTTTATAATGGGATTTTCTATCTATACCTACATGAAATAAAATTGAAATGTCTGTAATATCACAAGAAAACCTCCAGATTTCGGGAAGATGATGTATTTGTGTTGCTAATAACGAAAATCTCATTTAATTTTTTTGTCTATCTGTCCGCAAGCCGCGTTTGTTTCGGGTTATTTCCGAAACGTGTGGGCCGATTTCGTCTGGACTTTCACTGAAGGGTAGCTGACATAGACGGGCATATTATAGTCTATTTTTAATCTTAATATTACGTAGGCGAAGTCGCGGGCAACAGCTAGTCTTTAATATAAATATTAGTAGTCTTCAATACTTGTCTATTATTGTTTATATATATTAAGTAGAAGTTTTCGGAATTCAAAAAGGATTGTTTAAATTTAAAACCCACCGTGTGGTCTCTAACAATTTTTCTTAGCGACCTTTAGGCTTTATGATAATAACGAAGTTAATAAAAACAGCTATTTTTAACAGTTAATCTAACTATAATTATAGTTTTAATAAAGTTGTACAATAAATTAAATTGTGTAGTTTCAATAAAAACAGTTAACCGGCAAAAAACAACAATAATTACTTATTCAAAGAATTGAAGTTATTAAACTATTGTAATAGATATTAGTTAAACTATTGTTTGAGACTTTTATTGTCATTCAGTCCACGGTCAAATTCATTTACGAGATCGGATCATTACTGTATTTAAATTACAATATGTATAAAAGTAACTCGACGTCAATGCACAGTAATCTAGATTTTTATAGAACAAAAGAACAATATATCATACCCTTGTTCATGCAAAACTCAATTGCTATATAGTGTAGTGAAATGTCACGGTCGCTTCCAAAAGGTTCCGCGAAATCAAACAATAAGGGTGGCCGAAAAATCAGCTTATTAACTACGGGACTTAGAAATATGGAATCTTGCATAGAGATTTTTGTTACTGTGTAAAGGTTTAAAATACTACATTCGAATAGTGCACCTTTGTATGATAATTCATTATATTAAATCAGAAAATAGGAATGGGAAGTTTAGTTTTCCAAAGAACCTTCTCGATAGGCGGACCTACTACATTATCGTTTACAAAGAAAATTGTTATGCAATATATAGAAATTACTTTATCAGTGACCACGAGTTCTAAGCAAATGTTATCGATCTGCTATAAAGAGGTTAATGTTATTAGTTCACAACTGTACACAAACATTATTTTAATATCATGAGGTGGTAAGCGAGGAAGCGGGGGCCTTCAAAAGGAGAGTGAACAGCTACCTATTAAGCTAGCTCGTACCATCTTTCGACTGCATCGTCACCTCCTTCAGGTGGGATCGTGGTCAAGCGCTAGCTTAACAAATATAAAAAAAAGCGGACACCTTAATTCGTCGTAATTGCGATGCGATCGCTGCCGACTTTTGTCTACCCTTATCGACTGAGGGGACGAACATAATATTTTGTAGATTAATTATTCTCAACCTAGTAAAAATACAGTAACTAGAGGGTCGACAAAGATATCAAAAATACAGGTGAAAAATGAAAATATTAAATAATTTTAGAATTACTAAAAGTGTATACGCAAAAACCAATTGTTAACTAAAACAAAACAGTTAAATTATTTAATGGCCAGTGGGAGGCGCGACGCTACCGCGACACAACCCCATTAACCCTTGCCCTGAAGAAGGACCCCCTCAGGATCTGAAACTGGTCAGTGCCGTAACCGAAAAAAGTAGACGTGAGTAATAGCCGTAATGTAATTAGTTATAAAACAAAACATGCAAGAATATAAGTAAAATATCCAATATAAAATAGTTTTTTAATGTTCCTATACGCTAACAAATAAATACGGTGTTTTACTTGTAGAAAAGTCTCATCAACTAGAAAAGACAACAAAAAAATCTCATGTTTCTACTACTTACGCCGTTATTTCTAAAGAGCCAAGAAAGCAGTGGCAGGCAGTAATACTAAGCGAATGTGAAAGGCGTAGATAGTAATATCCACAGAAATCAAAGCAACCTCTATACATGTCAACTTTTATGGCTTTACGTCAATGGCCTCTACAACAGTAATAATTGGACATTATCTGGACACGCTTCAGTTATTTGATAAAATTAATTAACTATCACTTTAATTACAAATACCTAGACTAAACAGGGTATCAAGTACTGTTTTAGCACTAGCTGTTGCTCGCGACTTCGTCCACGTGCAATTTAACAAACATAGCCTATGTTACTCACAGATAAATTACCTTTTCACGGTGCAAGAATTTTTAAGATCGGCCCAGTAGTTTTTGTGTGAATCAAATACATACAAAACTCCAAATATTCCAAAATACAAATCTATTCTTTATATAATATTAGTATAAACAAATAAGAGCATTTAAGTTGTGAAAGTCCAATGAAGGTACCTCATAAAATTATGGTTAAAAGATATCTGTATGTTTTACGGAAAATCTTTCAGAGGAAGTTCAAAGTGAGTTATGATTTCATCAAAGATGTATTAGCTTTGTTTTACAGCAACTCAGACGTTGCTTCAGTAAAATACTTGAGGGGTAGAAAATTAGCGCTTTTAAATTTAGCTATAAATGGTCATTACTTATATTATTATATTAATAAGTAATACGTGTTTAATTTTAACGTAAGATATGGTGAGCAAAACCACAACATCATCACGTTCCACACTGAACTAAACCGATTATTACCAGTTCATTTCAATTCAAAGATAAATCTGTTTTGTTGAACTTTTCCATCCGATACAAAAATATGTAGAAAAATTATAAACACGTAACTATTAAAAAAATAGTTGTGCTCCAAATACAGGTTACATATCTACGCTATAATATATACGCAACTCCGCCCGCGTGTAATAAAAAAAACAAAAGTGAGTAGCCTATATGTTCTTCCAGACTATCCTCAAATTTCATTAAGATCCGTTCAGCCGTTTAGGCTACAAACTCTAACAAAGATCCACCCATACATCCATCTAAACTTTCGCATTTATTATATTAGTATGAAGTATGATTGTAATCTGGTGTCAATATTTAGTAACAGCGGGGGCAAAGTTCAGTCGTACATGACTAATGGAAACGTTTACTTTTAATAAAACGATCATTTCTCTATTTTTATTTTTATAATTCTATAATAAATAGTTACAGTATAATACTACTTAATAAGTTATATGAGAATAAATTGATGAATAAAACACTAATATATTTATTTCAAATGCTGGATGCGTTACGGATATTTAAATTGAACACCATTAAATTGTAAATTACTTCCTGTTATTAGCATATCTTGATAACATCGGGGTCAGCCACTTTTAACTAAATATACAAGAAATAAACAATACCAAACAAAATGTCCGTTGAGATATAAATAAAACTAATTAAGATTCTCTTTTTATTTACATACTTAAAATAAATCCCTGTTCACTTTTATTTCACAACATTTATCATAACCGCCATTTTGAATTTGGCTGTGACGTCATAATATTTTTTCTCGTAATCCATTCCATTTCATAGACCAATCAATTCCATCACCTACAAGGAATATATTTTTTTTCTTTTTTTACTACGTCAATAATTTAGTATCACTAAAAATAAAATGATAAATGAAATAATCAAGAAATGTAAACAAATCATATAAAATGAGAAACTAAATGAAACACTTTTATACAGAAAAAAATATATAAATAGCATCAAAATTAAAAATGTTTCTTTAGTAGCTACTAAAAATGGAACATACATAGTGTAACAACGCATATACGCTTGCTATCTATGTGCGTGACGTCATAAACTTCAGGTCTTATGTTATCGTTCACGGGTTGTACACCACTAACTTATGGCTAAAATAATTTATTTTTACTTAGATATTTAAATACCGGACACCAATATTAAAGTCTTACAAAGATTAAAGTAAATATGAAAATTACTACGCAGAAAGTGTTTTATGCGGGAGTGTTATTTACTTAATTATATAGCCTTATGTAATCAATATTATATATTTAATTGTACGAGACAAAATAATAACGAATTGAATAATAGGTTTGTTCATAGTTGAATATTATGACTATATATGTTACTTTTTTGTAATTTCCCATTCCTTAAAGTTTGAAACCAATTCGATCAAGTTTTTGTATCGAAAATTGTTGATATGACATTTTGATGGCCATTTACACTTCTAACAAAAACATATTCTTCAGCATATTCAAAGCTCGCGCTTGTGTTTCATTCTCTGCGACGAGATCCATGTTGACGTATTTAGCGGCTTGCAGTATCTTGAGACAGGACGCATCTTCAGGCGGCAGTTTGTGGTACACCTCCGCGAACATCGTCTTCGCAGTCTCTCCGTGGTATGAGAGGGGGTCTAGGATATCGGCTAAATCAGACGACTCCAGGAGGCAACATATGTGGGCGAGAGTCACGCATAACTGAAAATAATTAAGTTAAAAAAATTATTTAAAATATCTTCCGGCTCGAAGGACCATGTATGGTTGATTTTTTTCTAATTTAACTAAAGTGTAAAGTGAGTACTAGTGTTCTATTCAGAACTATATGATCTATGGTTTAACAGAATTTCTATTGAAGTACAGGATTTGATTGAGTTTGAGTCGTAATTACATTTCTAAATGTGCAGAACTATTGGGTCAAGCGAAATTTTTTACAGTAGCAACCGGATAGCATACATATAGCATTAAGATTCACAGAATATTGATTAATCTAGTCAGTTTCGAATCACAAGTTTAAAAGCGAATAACCCTTTTAATATAAAGTATTATTCGAACAATCAAAACTGACAATAATTTTCCATACATCACATACTTTATGTATTTACTAGCTGTTACTCACGACTTCTTCCGCTTGTAATTTAAAGAAAAAAGGCCTGGGTCGCTAAGATAACGTAGCTTTTTAATGGTGTAAGAATTGAAATCGACCCAATAGTTTTTGAGTTATTTCAATTCATGCAAAAATAGAAATCTTTCCTCTTTATATTAGTACGAGTTGTTGCCCGCGACTTCGTCCGCGTGGTATTAGAAAAGTTACGTATCCCTCGGGAACCGGACATTTCTCGGGGATGAAGCTTATCCCATGTGTACTCCAGACTTTGTTTTTAGCTGTACCAAAATTCAATACGTTATGTTGAACCGTTGCAGAATGATCGAGTAAACATTAAAAAACTAAATTAATGAATCCCACGGAAACCGTAATTATTCCCGGGATAAAAAGTAGCCTATGTGTTCTTCCAGACTATGCTCTAAACCTGTGCCAAATTTCATTGAGATCCGTTCAGCCGTTTAGGCTACAAACGCTAACAGACATCCATCTAAACTTTCGCATTAATAATATTAGTAAGATAAATATACATAGTGACTTATTTTGTCCATTCTACCGCTAGTATAATCAAAAGTTTTCTATCTTGAGGTAAAGTGCCACTCATATCAACACCGACCCTCAGGTCATACGGGCTGAATCGCGGAGGGCGCACACGGTCATAGGGAATGTGTAGTTTTATATAGTGATTTATATTCGTATACCTGTTCAGCGAGGTTGTCTTTATGCTTGTATTCAGTGAAGTCGTCGAGATGCGCCGCGCTGTCCAGCGCCTGCGCCAGTCCGCGCCACAGCGCGGCCAGCAGCGTGCCCAGCTGGTGGCGCCGCGCGCACGACCGCAGCGCCACCGCCGCCGTTATACGCACCTTTATGTTCTTCGCACTCTGCGCCAACTTGCACAGCTCCGGGATCACTTGCTCCTGTTTACATTCATTACTTCGACAACCAATTACTAATGTGGGCGTTTTTTTCAAAAGAAAAGTTTAGTTTTTAAGACAGATAACAGTAAATCGAAATCTACTAAGCTCCAGTGGCAGATTACAAAAATGCTAAAAACCAGCATCGCATTGCTTAGGTTGAGGGGTTCAAGCCTGTAGCCCATTGTCGATTTATGTTTCTACTTAGATCATAACTGCATTCTTATTTTTTATGACAATTGTAAAAGACCGTAATTTATATTTATTCATAAAAAAAACTGTGAATTATTTTTTTGAATTAATGAATGACACAAAATATAAAATTTACCTTAATTATTTCTTATAATTATCTCTTAATTTTTGTTTAAAATCTTAGTTTTTGTTACTCAAATGCTTACTTATATATTAACATTGAGATGTTGACTTAACTTTTACCTTACCATCTTATGAGAAAAAAGATGTTTAGTTTACCTGCCATCCTTGAAAGCATACAAAAAGACATTCGTTCTTCATAGCGTTGCCGAGGGCGTAGCAAGCATTCCAGCGCACTTTCATACTGGCGCCGTGACTGGCGCAGCTCAGCAGCCGGCTGACGGCAGTATCGAACAGCGGCTTCAGCGCGCCGTTGTGCGACAAGTTCTCGCGAGTTAGTATACGCAGCAAGTTGCCTATACTACGCATTGCACTCATTTTCACCTAAATAAAACAAACATTTTCATTTCCCACCCCTTATTGTACCATCTGGTATTTCAATTGTCGCTCACAATGCAGTTAGATGGAATACTTGCCGAATACATTTTTTTTCTGAATTCGCCAAAATGGCAAAGCGACCTCTGCCCATAGACATCTGCAATTGCAGATGCCTTGCCTACGCTAAATCGACGGAGGAGACGCACGTAAAGGGAACATATCCCCCTCCTATGCGTCTCCTCCACCGTAAAATCCACTTTCCTATCAAATACCTTCCTTATAAGAAAAGGGTGGAACGGGAAAAGAACTAAAATTGGTCCTTCGGCCTAAACATATACTGAACTACTATTCTCTACTACTATTCATCTACACTAATATTGTAAAGAGGAAAGATTTGTATTTTTGTATGTATTGAAATAACTCAAATACCGATTGGATTTTTTTTTTCACTGTTCGATAGGTAATTTATCTGTAATATTGGCTATACTTTTTATTTTCGCGCGGGCGAAGTCGCAAGTAACAGCTAGTTAATTATATAAATTAAGAGTTGTTTAAGTTGGTGACTATTTGCTGTACAATATTTAGTCCTAGATGGGACGCCAATTAAATTCTTTGACTGCATTATATTGTTGAAGTTACTTTTTTAAACATATCAAGTAAAACATTGGCACATTATTTCGAATTTGATGTTTGTGTGGATACCTTGTCATTATCTAAGGCGCTGGCGACGCTGGCCTTCAGCAGACGCACCAGCAGTTCGTCACTGATGCTGTCCAGCTCCGGCACCTCTCTGTATATAACATACTACTTGTCATAGATTGTCAAGGTGCGGGGG